ACACTGGGTGACGTCGTGACGGCCGCCACAGAATGGCTCCCGTTGAACAACGATTCGCTAAAAATCTACTATTTATCAATTTTATCTTGATGAACGCGTCATTGGAACGGTACTAATGGATATTTTTGGTCGCTATTGAAAATTTAGTCGATTGCTAAATTTATGTATGGGTCCAAATAAGGGTAATTTAGGCCGATAGTACATCCATTTCCCCTATATCGTTCTGCTTTGGAATGGCTGTATATATATAAGTATATTTTTATTTTTTTTGCGATCTCTAAAAAAAATTCTATGTGATGATCATCTTGATACCCTTAGAACTCTTCACAGGATCTGTTCATATTTGTTTCAAGTATTTCCTTATAATCATCTCAAAACTTCCTCAGAGTGCATCTTAGACCTCTTCCTTGCAATTTGCTCCATAATACTCAAGAAATTCTCTAAGAAGCTTCTTTGATTCACTCTGCAATTAATAAAGGAATTTATGAGAATTTTGAAGAAATATCTTAAAGTCTAACAGAATTTGGTCGGACATTTTGAGCACATTTCCTAAGAAACTTTGGGTAGTAGGAGATTCTGAAGAAATTTCCGAGTTTCAATCCAAGAGATCCTCCTGAAGAACATTTCGAGAAGTATTTCAAGGACATTCTGCGGAAAATTTCTTTAGAATTCATACCACGAGATTTCCAGGAATATTCCAAGCTAATTGTAGCAAATATAATGGAGAGAAATTAAAGCAGTCATGACTACTTCAAACTAGGGGAACAGGATTTTTCAGTATTCAAAAAAACACATCTTAGTCCTTATTACTTTTTATGCTTTGTTGATAGTGGCAAGACTCAGCTTTGTCCACCGAGGATGATCTTGAAATAAGGAAAACATGAGTTAGTTAGTCTTCATCTATGTGATTCCTAATATTCTATTCGTTGTTCCCTAGTTTGAAGCTCGGTTTGAAGTGGTTAAGACTAGGGTTCTGATGCATGGTCACTATCGGTGTCATTGCTTAATTTTGATGCTAGAGAATCCAATTTTGATTGACAAAGGGGCGCGCCTTTGGAGGGTGCTCTCACTCTTCGAAGGGTATAAATAGCGGGATCTTTCAGTTAGAATCGATTCCTTGCGATGAAGGCAGGAATGACAACTGTATCAACACCGAATACTTCACCATTTCTTAATAGTGATGGAGTAATATGGCATGCACTAAACTAAGGACACGGGATATACTACAATAGATCAAATTAATGGTCGCAGTAGTTTTATGCCCCGAACAGAGAGCCAAAATTCCTGAAGTGGACCACTGATTTTTCACAAATCATTGGATTCCGTTCAAAATACGTCTATATATTGCTCTTACCACGACAAACAATAACCCAAAATATTTCGGCAAAATGCGCATTTAAACAAAAGTTATAAACAATTAAGTTTTTTGGACCCTTTTTCGAAAAAAAAATCTTATCTCTAGATCGGGCCAATGAATTTATCTCCAGTTTTGATATAATCACAAGAAGATATGTTTCTTCCAAAATCACTAAAATTTATTCATCAAAAATGTAATTTGTTTATAATAATTACAATTTTTTATAAACAAATGCAATTTTTTTGGTGTTCCCCGCACGATACAAGATTGATTTTTTTTAGAATTGTTCCTTGACTTTTTTCCCATACAGAACCGTTTCAACATTTTTGTCACCAGTATTGGGAGCCGAGTTATAGCAATTTTTGTAACGCGCCGCACCAAGCGCACGGCGCCGCGTCGCGCCGCTCGCGCGTTCACGCATCGGGAAAGACACGGGAAAGACGAAACGAGGAAACGAGTTCGGACCAAGAGCGCGTAGCGACTCGCTTCGCGCGCGAGCGGCGCGTCGCGGCGCCGCGCGCTTGGTGCGGCGCGTTACAAAAATTGCTATAACTCGGCTCCCAATACTGGTGACAAAAATGTTGAAACGGTTCTGTATGGGAAAAAAGTCAGGGAACAATTCTAAAAAAAAAGCAATCTTGTATCGCGCGGGGAACACCAAAAAAATGCATTTGTTTATAAAAAATTGTAATTATTATAAACAAATTACATTTTTTATGAATAAATTTTAGTGATTTTGGAAGAAACATGTCTTCTTGTGATTATATCAAAACTGGAGAAAAATTCATTGGCCCGATCTAGAGATAAAATTTTTTTTCGAAAAAGGGTCAAAAAAACTTAATTGTTTATAACTTTTGTTTAAATGCGAATTTTGCCGAAATATTTTGGGTTATTGTTTGTCGTGGTAAGAGCAATATATAGACGTATTTTGAATGGAATCCAATGATTTGTGAAAAATCAGTGGTCCACTTCAGGAATTTTGACTCAGAGGAAAAGGAAAAGCAGTTCCTAGCGAGAATTTTTAAGAATAGAACGATAACTGTAGAGTTAATTAAAAGAGTTTTCTGGAGGTAATTCCAAAAGTGTGCTGCACAAAATTCCGACATTTAAGGAGACAATTTCTAGGGATTACCGCACAAACAAAAGAGATTTTGAAATGAACCTAAGGAAATCCTTGAAAAATATGCAAATACATCATGAGATAAGCTTCAAAGAAATAATTTAGATATGTTTTAGATACCATAGCATAGCATACGCGATTTCACAAATCGTGGGGGGGGGGGTCTATATAATGGTCAACCAATACATTTTGCAGGAAATATCGTGTAAAAAAACACGTCAAAATCTGCAAATCAAGCATCGCATTATACACCTGGCCACATCCTTACAATCGCAGGGGATAGCAAGGAAAATTAGTCCAACATCTACTTAAGAAGGTGCAGGGAACCCATACTACCTTCATAGATGCCACGGGAGGGAAAATTTGTGTTAGTAGGAAATGGAATATATTTAGGAATCTCTATTCGGCAATATAGAGTAAAGATTATGTGAAAATTTAAACAAAATTAATGAATACAAAAAGAAAGATCTCACCAAAATTATCTGCTATAAGCCTATCTTTCCATGTTTTCTAAGCTGTTCTATGCATCTTCCTTGCCAGTACTCTCCAGCACGCGTTTTCTTTTCACACCGAAGCATTGAAACCATTCACCACTCTTTCGCCTGCGTTACTGTATTGGAAGCAAACCGCAGGATTCACAGCCGAATGCGCAGACCCTCCAGTGCTTGGAGTACATCTGATCTCAAACACCATCATAGAACGATTAGAAAATACCCAGCACCTCGGCATCGATCGCTTCACTATGCCCCAAATTTCTGGTCCGGGAGCGGCACACGCGAAGAAAATAAAACAAGTACACAGATAGCGACATCTCTTCTGATGCTTGCAAACACGATGAATCACGTTTCCTTCTCGATTCGAAAAGTTCCCACAAAGCGAGAAAACCACCACAATCACACACGTATAACCGTCCGGGAGGCAGAGTGCCAGCGCTAATCAGTAAAATGCAGCCGAAAACGATCAAAGCGAACGCACGCACAAAACAGAGAGCAAACTTAAAACAGAACCGTATCCAACGGGTTTCGAAACTCGAATCCTAGATTTAGATACCATACACAGAAATATAAGATCTAGGAATAACAAAATAAATGGTCAAAATTCTGAGACTTCAGTTGAGTTCAGTTCAAATTTCAAGATCCAGGTCTTAGAACACTTTACAAGACTATGGGGCTGGATTCAAAATTTTAAGAGAAATATTCGATACATCAGACTTTGAATATTTATTAATACAAATTATATGTTAAAGTTCCAATCAAATTCCCTGTTATTTCCCGGTTTTTAAAGTTCAGTGGTCAGTGGCCATTCTGCTAAAATCTCCTAAGTAGCTCTTACACTTACCATCAAATCAGGGATAAAGGCGCAAAATTTAACTCTCGCCAACCAGGTTAAAATCATCAATACGGCTTTGGCTCAAGATCTTGATCAGATGAATGCTTGCTACTTTCAGCGAATATATCCGACGTCCACCTAGTGGTAGCCAATTTGGATTGAAATTCATTCGCTTTGTGCCGTTAGTGTGGTATTTGTAGTACTACTACTACTTGTTATTAACATAGAGGTCCCAAAGAAACGTGCTCTACTTTTTTACTCAGCTCTGGTACTCTCTTCGGTCCCAAGCTAATCGATGCACCCCTCGAAACATAGAAAAATCCACGAACCCCTCATTTTATCTGTCAAACTTTCATAGCGAATCAAAACAAACTTAGTTTAGTACTAGAATTCCGACTAGAATTGGGTACGCTCACAGATGTACTCACGAACAATCGAAGAGTCAAGATTGAGCATTACGAATTTGGCAGCGCTTGCTGCCAGCCGATGGCATTGAAAAGAAGCCACACCCGAGTCGGTTAGCAAAATTAAAGCAAACCGATATTAGTTTACTGTTCCTATCATAATGAAAACTCATTTTGATTTCAATTGTTGCGAAATAAGTCTGATAACATATTGTGCTTTCAGTTTTATTTTAATGACAGCAACTTAGCTTCAAGTTCTGCTGTTAACGTCTCGTAAAAATTAAACAAACGATTGTCTAATTGTTTTGTTGAACACATTTGACACACGAATGACCTATCGTGACTAGCCCGGAGTGAAATTTCTCAAGTCTTTCAACGTGAGAAGCATGGATGCTAACCATTTACGCCAGGCCCGTATTCAGTTAAATATTATGAATGCAAAATCAGTTATCAAATTGATTTCATTGATAGCCGGATTAGTTTTACGTTTGATTCAACAGTGTAAATTTTTGCTCTCATTTTTGCTGTGAGATGAGATCAACTGAAGTATTCAAAATAAGCTACATCATAACAGCAAATTTTGATTACAATTTGATCTCCAGCTTTGCTCGGGCACCGCATCACCCAGGTGCTAAAGTAGGGAGTATTGACCTATTTTGAAACTTTTGCCTTCAGTGAAGTGCAATTTTTTTTTTTTTTTTCGTTGAAGTGGTTTACCGGCAATTTACTTATTTATAAGGCTCGATCACCATGCCACAGAAATAACTCTCGAACTTTTCTGTCTCTACAGTTCCAAGATATTTTAAAACCAGCCTACAATACGGTCGACATGATAGAGGTGGAGCTAACTGACGACGACCGTGGACCACGGGACTTTAATCCTGCCTTATTGCTGGTAAGTATTTGGAGCACCATTTCAAAGACCGAAACAATCATTCTCATCCAATGCCAGATACGAGAATCTATAATCAATCAATCTACCGGAGCGAAATGGGTCCACGTGAAGTATCATTTCGATGAAATGGTAAGTTGAACAGCTGTGGAAAATCTCCTTTCCATCCAATCTTATCCTATTTCTTGTATGTTTTCTAGAAACGGGTATCCCGCACTCGGCGCCAGTATTACTGGACTCCGATCAAAAACACCCCATTCACTCTGGTAGTAACGTACCCGGAAACGTACGGTGTCAATCGGCTCCAGATTCGAACGGACGACGAAATACACCGTACCCATGCAAAAGGCAGCAATGCTGCTAGCTTCTTTGGCGGCATCAACTGGAAGATTCATCCAGACTGGTAATTTTGGAAACGTTTCAGATTCAGCAAATTGTTAATCATAATTTCTTACATCCTCCAAAGGGTATATTGCAAATATCTGAACGAACACGCGAATGAAACGTTCGGTACTCCCGAGCTAGAGCTGAAGCATTTCCTAGAACGAATGAAACAGGGCGGTTGGAAATGGCCAGCACTCCGGACTCCCCCTCCGCCGGAGCACGCCATGTTCTGTAAGTGTTAACTCACGTTGTCAATCCTACTTTTCTGTGTTCAATACCAACCAACGCAACGGAGCGTATGTTATGTATCGTCGGATTCAGTGAAAATCATCCGAACAAAACAGTCACACTCATTTATCGGGAAAAGATCCCCTCTCATTGCCATCATTCATCTCAGTGTCAGTTGCGATCGCCATTCCATTCACCTTCATTTGATGTCTCTTTGTCGAAAATCCAAGCAAAACCCAACCAACAACTGACAACGTTCATATCTCAGCTGTAGATTCTGTTTATTGAATAACCGTCTCTTTTCCTTTTCTTCTTTTTCGATTAATTTCGATGTGTCCAAATCATCCAACTGAAATCTCACACGTTGTCGAAATTAATTGCCCTGTCTTCTGTCGAAATTGACGAACTTTCGTGCGCCAATCATCCACTACTACTGGCTCCAATGTGTGCCAAATCAAACAAAAAAAAATATATAAACTGAAAATTGCAAATCCGCAGCTAACATTTCGACCCGAATGCCTGAAAAGGACTACTATTACTGTGAGTAAGATCTTCCTAATCGATACATAACGTATAAATCTAGCACAAATCACAAACTAACTCAATAGAAAACGAGATAAACAAAATGTCCGCCAATTACTCAAAAAAAAAACAGATAGTAACCAAAGTCCGTTTATATTTATTTACATACACACACTTACCAGTATTTGATTAGCGAATCCAGTTGTTCATATCGATCACGCACCTACCGAAACGATAAATTATTCCTAACTCACACAAAAGAAATATTCTGCACAAGCCGACACCAAGTCGATTTTGATGAATGAAATAAAAAAAAGTATCAAACTCGAATTGGTTGTTTCGATTGCACGTTTTTAGAGCACCCAACTTTCAACCCTGAGTTACCGTAACAATTTAGTTCTAGTCAGTTTTGATTCAATTGAGTGAAATTATGAGTTGATTTGAGGGAAAAAATAAATCCAACAAACAAGAGAAAAATTACAGAAAATAGTTCAAGTTTGGTTTGTTTACGTTTCCTAGTTTCCGATTAGCGATTTAGTTGTTCAGTATTGTTCAGAAGAAAATTAGGCAATCCGATTGATTGGATGAGTGATCTTACCTGTTTTAGTTACGATACACACACTTTGTTTCAGTAGGCTGCAATATATAATCCTAATTGTATGTACAATTTTCTCCAAGTATTTATTCACTTGCACAGAGTTTACGAAAACCGTTCATTTGTTAGCTGAGGAGTTGCATATGCAGGAATAAGTACCAACTAATACTACTACTACTAATACCACAAACCAACAGTCACCATAAACTGAACAACATCCGGGTTACACTGCAACAGAAAACTCGTTCACCTTGAATATACACACCTCTGTGCATATTGATTGTAACAGAGAAACTTATGGCCCATTACTCAAATCTTTGCATCTTCATCGTTTACCTACTATATTAGCCAATCATAACTAAACTAAAATATTCCAAAATATTACGCAGTTTAATCAAAAACTTCAGGATTCTCACCAGAACTCACAATATATTTTATTTATTTATTTTAATTTATTTGTTCTTCGTCTCGAATTTATAAAAAACTCTACAGACCAGGGCTGGTAGCAATCAAAAGTAGTGATTTCAGTGACCATGTTGAAGACCAAATAAGTGACCAAATAGTGACTTATAGTAGTAAAAAAGGGACTAAAAGTTGACCTAAGAGACGAAAAGTAGTTGTTCTGATCGCACACCAAATCAATGTTTGATGTTTTGGACTTAATCAATTAGTATCTTATAAGCACTTATGTACGATATGAAGTTTTAAAGGGCAAGATTCAAGAGAAATTTATCACCAAACCCACGGTATTATAATGAGAGAGAAGGATTAGTAATTTCCATTCAATTCAACTACCTTATTTGCTTATCTTTGACAGATACGCGTATTTCGTCTACAATGTGCAGACTTCTTCAGTGTCTTGTACTAATACTCGACTGAAGAAAAACATCGCATTTACCGAATATATATTAACACAGGTACATTTTCACTTAGAAACAAGGTAAACTTAAATCTAATTTCCTGTAGGAACAGGTACTCCGCTGCTTACTCGTTTATGTGTCCTAGGTAGTAACTTGAAAAGTTTCCTTGATCCCTGTTGAGTAAAGTTGAATTACGTTGTTTGTTGATCTCGAGGCTTTCTACAACATCCAATTTCCATGGTGTAGATACGGTTCGTAAAATCGTGATGTCCTCCGTCGATAGTTGGTGGTCCTCTGTGAAGATGTGTTCTGCAACCTTTGATTTGAAATCATATGTTAGGCCTTTTTCCTCTTGCTTTTTGGCCTTATTAACCTCCGCTCTAGTTGCTAAAGTTCTCTTGGTTTGTCCTACATATACTTTGTTACAATGATTACAGCTTATTTTATATACACCTGCTTCACCTAAAACATTAACTGGGTCTTCAGTGGATCCTAACAATGATTTCAACTGATTATGTCTACTCGTGAAAACTTAATCTAATCCGAATTGTTTTAACTGTGGTCTTAGCTTACAAGTAATATCTTGATCAAATGGAACGGACACTCGTTTCAATGGTTCAGGTGCTGCGGTGAGGGCTGTAAATAATCTCCTTTGTAGAATTCTCGCTTTTTTATCGATGATTGCCTGGATTGTGGTCTCCTTGTATCCGTTGAGTCTTGCTGTTTCGAAGATGTACTGTAGTTCCTTAACCTTTCCTGTATCGCTGAGTGGAAGAGTCTGCATTCGATGAATCATGTGGTGAAAGGCGGCCATTTTCTGCTGGAACGAATGGTTCGAAGTATAGGGGATAACTCTTTTGGTGCTTATTATGGCTTCCTGTAAATTTCGTATTCAAGCGAGGAAGATGATGACGATTCCCTGATGACTAGAAGATCGAGAAATGCGAGTTTCCCGTCTTTTTCTACCTCGTGAGTGAATTTGATATCCTTGTGAATTCTGTTCATCTCATCATTGTGGAAGGGCTTCCCGTTTAACTACGCTGAAGATATCGTCAACAAACCTCCACCAACGGTTTGGTTACAGTCCTTTCTCCTTCAGGATTGTCTCCAAGTTGGCCATGAAAAGTTCACACAAGAAGGGGGATAGGGGGTTTCCCATTGGGGCTCCTTTCGTCTGCTTGTAGAAGTTACCTCGGAAAGAGAAGTAGTTCTCGTCCATACAAAGGCGGGTCAGCTTAAGGTACGTCCGAACCTTGTTTCTCCATGCTGCATTCTCTCGTTGTGTTAATAGCCAGTTTTTCAAATGGTTGATCACTTCCTTGACCGGTACACTGGGAAAAAGAGCTGTGATGTCGAAAGATACCACAATCTCGCCCTCGTTGATGTCTCCTGAAGATTGTAGTTGCTGGGCGAACTCCTGGGTGTTACTAACTGCTTTACTCTGGAACTGATTCGGCATACTCTGGTGGAACTCTTTGACTAGCCACTTCGCTAGTTTGTGGGTGGAGGAACCAACTGCAGACACGATCTCTCGCATTTCATTTTCCGGTTTGTGGACTTTTGGGAGACCTTTGATCCTGGGTAGAATGGGATTGGGTTCCCGTAAACGACCTGCTCCATCTCCTAATATTGATTTGCACTCCTTCAGTGCTTTCTCCACGCGTTTCACTATGTTCTGTAAGGGGTCTACTCGAAGCTATCTATACGGTCCGTTGTTAATCTTCGTTGTCATCTGATTGTCGTAATCGTCCTTGTCCAGGATAACGACCGCGTTTCCCTTGTCTGCCTTCACGTAGTATACTGCTTTACTTTTTAGCTCCTTTACAATCCGAATTTCTTTTTCGTTGGCGCGACTTTGTTCCTGTCCGTCCTTGATTATGTTCGATGTGATAGTCCTAACCGTATTCTGTGTTGATGTTGGAAGTGTCTTGGTAATCGCTGTTTCTACGTCAATGATGATCTGCTCCACGTCTGGCTTGTTTGTAACCGCGTATCCTAGCCCCTTGTTGAGGTGTGTCAATTGTTCTTCCGTGAATGCGGTCGTCGATCGGTTGACAACCAATCCATCAATGGAGTGAACCCTCGGCGTCGTGGTGATGGTTGATGGGATCTGCTCACCCGTCCGGTGTGTCGTCCGTCTCCGTTGAGACTCCTGTCGTAGTCTGTTTAGCTTCCTATCCTGCAGCTTCCGCTTCCTATCCGATTCGCACTTCTCTGCTACCTTGGGCCTAGACAGAAACTCCTGGAATTTAATTGGATACTCCTTGGCCAATTTGATAGATAATAACATTCCAAAACCTTCATGCCCAGTTTGCTATATAGCCGTCTGATGCTATCCTTGATGAACTCTGCTTCCATCCTATTTACTACGCTGGGTGGGGTGGGTGTCCGTACCTTAATCCTATGGCTTATAGGTATAACCTTTTTTTTTCTCATTTCTTCAGAAATGCTACGTCCTTGTGAAGCGATGCGATGGTTTTCTTCAATCGGATGAATTTATTTGGCTCCGACGGCTTGGTTGCCACGATGAATCCTGATGAATGTGGGCGTCTTAGTGGAATACCTGTATAATGAGAGAGAGAAGGATTAGTAATTTCCATTTAATTCCACTACCTTATTTGCTTATCCTTGACAAATACGCGTATTTCGTCTACAATGTGCAGACTTCTTCAGTGTCTTGTACTAATACTCAACTGAAGAAAAACATTGCATTTACCGAATATATTATCTAAGTGAAAATGTACCTGTGTTAATATATATTCGGTAAATGCGATGTTTTTCTTCAGTCGACTATTAGTACAAGACACTGAAGAAGTCTGCACATTGTAGACTAAATACGCGTATCTGTCAAGGATAAGCAAATAAGGTAGTGGAATTGAATGGAAATTATTAATCCTTCTCTCTCATTATACAGGTATTCCACTAAGACGCCCAAATTCATCAGGATCCACGGTATTAGCCAGAGTGGCAAATCTTCAGGGAATTTAATTTTTCCTGAAAATATCTGGAAGCCCTCAGGGAATTTAATCATTATTGACAGAATTTAATAATTTTCTTAGGATGATAATATTTTAATGAAAAGAATGCATTTTAAAATACAAACATTTTGCTTGTTATTTTCATTCACACATTGAACTTTATACATCCTAAGTGGACTAATCTTCAGTAACAAATAAAGTTATAAAACTCAGACTATTTTTAATTTGGACAAGTTTTTTTTTTTAATTCTGGACTTAGAAATTTCAAGAATATGGAGTTAAGTTCCAGTTTTAAGGGCTCGTGGAATTTAATTTTAATTTTCAAGGACCTCATTCCAAGGGAGTTCTGGGAAAAAAAAAATCTCTGAGAAAAAACATCAAGTGCATTCTGCTTTCAAGGCAGTTCTGAGTTTAAGAAACTAGCCTGATGCTGACAATACCTCTCATTAAATGTTAAAACATCCCTGAACTTTTTCGGACTTCATAAAGATTTGTCAATTTACCTAACGATCAACGAAAACTTCTCTGACGTTTTATCAATTCGCTTAAGTTCTCGAAACTTTAAAGAAGTTTATGTAATTTATT